GGTTTTTCCCCTTCTCCCTTTGCAATACACGGATGGCTCCAGTGCCTGCCAGCTGGAGCAGCCCGAGGAGCCTGCAGAGACCAGGGATGTCTGCAGGCACTGAGGGAAAGGTTTTCAGGGCAGGACAGGGAATGAGGGAACAGATCCACTTGGAAACATGGGATTTATCTTAGTGTCAGGAAAACTAATCCATAAACACCAGGGGTTTCTGTCTAAAAAGGAGACAGAGGAGTCCTGTAACTTTATTTGATAAAGGGAGAGGCCATGGGGCATTCCCCTGGGGTCTCTCAAAAATTTACAGGATGCAGCCTCCTGTTTATCCCAATTTCCTGGCCAAATTTCCCCCTCTCTTTCCCCATTGGCTGAGGTACTTGAGAGGTACAGACTTCCCAAAACACCTAGCACCCCCTTCTAATGTGTGCCCCACCCCAGTTTCCTTTTTCCTTGTGTCTCTGTTCTTGTTCTCTACATCCAGAGATGTAGCACAGTCTTGAGTGAGTAACAGTCTGTGTCAATTAGTGGAATTCCCATGGATTTTTTAAATTATTATTTTTCATATTTTTTTAATTAAAAAAAATATTTTTTTATTTCTTCTTTCACCTCTCAGCATCTGGCCTTATCTACCATCACAGCTTGTTTGTAAAGATATTTCTCATTCCTTTCAATCCCTCCTCCTCTTATGTTCTCAATAATTGTCTTACAAATCTTAGTTCGTCAAATTCACTTTATTTTTCCTTTAAACTTTTTGTATTTTTTGTTCCTTTTTAAACTTCTTGTTCCTGGCTCCTTTTTGGTTTTGCAATTATTCACAGTGACATCATTTTCTGTCCTTTTGTAGCCATTTCTGGGTCTGTAGGTGTGGCTTCCACCTGCATCCCTTTGATCACATATTGAATGAGTTGCACTTAAGCAAGGGATCATGCATGGTAAAAAGATGAGAGTTTCTACAGCACATAAGAGGAAAAAAACCTCATTTAACCCATAACCCACCAAGTAACCACAAAAACCAGTCCCATTCTCATTTTTCCATGTTCAGACTGGAACATGAGCTAAATTTTTTATTCCCTGAGTTGAGGTTGTGGGCTCTGTAATGCAGTGATTATTTCCTTGCTGTTTTCTGTATGGTTTTGTGTATTGTATTTATTGGTTATTACTTCATCAACTACTCTGTGTGCAGGAAGAAGTTTTGTAGTTGTGGTTTTAAGTGTAGCCGCGTTATATAATCTTAGATTGACAGAGTCTCAGAGAAAGAGATTGAAAAGAGTCCTTGGGCCTTATTTGGAAATTGTTTATATGTAGATAGATAGATAGATAGATAGATAGATAGATAGATAGATAGATAGATAGATATAATCTTAAATTGACAGAGTCTCAGAGAAAGGGATTGAAAATGGTCCTTGGGCCATATATATATAATCTTAGGTACACAGAGTTTCACAGAAAGGAATTGAAAAGGGTCCTTGAGTCTGTATTTGGAAATTGTTTGTGTACTTAGTGTAAAAGATTTTTTAGTTAGTATTTTGGGACAGTCATGGGATGTTCTTTAATCATTGAGTCTAGGAGATCCAAGGTGTCTTTTTGTGATCTGGATATTACTTTTCTTGTAACTTTTTATACTTTTCTTATATTTGATTAACTCTGAAGTGTATTTGACTTTTGTGGTTGTTTTCTGTTCTTCAGTTCCTCTGTTCTGTGATTGATTTGTAGTCACCAGTTTTGGCTTTACTGTTTTACTAGTCTCTAGGGATTTTCGAGTTCTTTTTTTTCCTTGTCTTTTTTTACTCTCTGTGGATTTTTCTAACTTTCAGCTGCTTTGTTTGTCTCTGTTTCTTCAGGGAGGTCTCGACTCTGATAGGTGTCTTCCTCACACAGGAAGATTTGTTTCACCACTTTTCCACTCTCATCTATTTGCAAACAGCAACTTGAGTAATTTAATTTTTCACACATTAGTATTGATCCACAGCCCACTGAAACCATGGGAATCTTGTCACTGGCAGCATGGCATTTGGGATGAAGTTCCTACATTTTGGGACATGCTCCCTCCTCCTTGATTTTTTTTTTTTCCTTTAGGGAGTGTAACTACCAGAACATAACAACCCAAAGTTGGGTACAATTTTGCAACTTTTCTGAAGCTGTAACGAGCTGTGCTCCCAGGGTTCATTATGAGGCTGTCTTAAAACTTGCTGGTGAAACAGGAAAAACAAGAAATCCGACCTCACTGCAGTGCTTAGTTGAAGTGCATTTATTGACTGCTTAAAGCTCTCACAGCAACTGTGTTTGCTGAGAACTGAGGGCCCTTGGATTAAATTCACACTCAGCAGACACAGCCTTGACAAAAACCTGTCACACTCCAGGCTGGCTGGCAGCTGCAGCTGGAGATGGGAGATTTCCCTCTCCTTGTGATGCTGTTCAGCTTCTCTCCCTCTCCAGGAGTCCCATGAGGGATGAAAATGCCAGAGGTAAATCAGGAGCATCATGCTGGGCATGTTTTTGGTGATTTCTTGGTGCCAGGGCAAGTAACCTGGATCAATAAAGAGAATAAACCCCTTTGCTAAAAGATCTTTAAGATTTTCAAGCTGAAAATCTTTTGAAGAGTCTGGATCTCGCTGAGGAGGGAGAACTGAGAAAAACATGAATCAGTGCCCAAAGGAGCAGCAGTTGGATCTCTGCTGGGAAATTTACCTTTGATACAGCAGTGCTGACACTGGTGTGTGCTTAATGCTGCTAAATTTTTATCCCCATCCATCTGCACTGGAAATTCAGGCTGGAATTCCGGCCTGGAAAGGCAGAAGGCTGCAGTCTGTGACCGTGCTGTAACCTGAAGAGCAGTTCCTCGCCTCCCTCAGCAGGCAGTGCTGCCTCCAGACACCACCCAGCAGCACTGAACTTTGCCCAGTTTTGGCTGGATTCGAGGAACTGGTTCCACTGGCAGGAAGGATTTCTGAGCTTTTGGTGTTATCTCTCTGGCCATCTTAAGTGGGGAGCTGAGCACAAGTGAGAGCAGTTGCATGAGGAAATAGGCAGGGTGTGAATGCAGGAGGGGGGGAAATCAGTCCTGGAAGGGATGGAGTGGATGGAGTGGATGGATGTGGCTCTCCCCTGGTGCAGGAGATGAAGCTGGGCTTGCAAGAAGTGCAAGGAGACATTTTTGGATATGATGTCACTTTGACTCCGTGTGAGTGATGCCTCAGGTTCAGCTTTTCTATTTCTCAGACTCTGTGCTGCTTCAGTGTGTGGGTCTGGGCTCCACATGAGGGGATGCTGAGCTCTCTGCACAGAGCAGAGACAAAACAATTCCTGCTCCAGCTGGGCACCAAGGACAAATGATCCAAACCTCAGCCCAGGAGCACAAACACCGTGGGCTGGAGAGAGAAAAACAAGCAGGGTGGGACTGCCTGGGCTGAAGCTGGAATGGGACAATGAACTCCAAGGTGCCAATGGAGCAGAACTGATCCCAGGGAGAGCCCCCGGGAGCGCTCGTGCATTTTGGGACCATTTTGGTTCATTTGGGTGCAGCCCTGGCTGGGCTCTGGTGCTGCCCAAGGTGGATCCATGGAGGAGATGCTTTGAATAAATCCCTGCTTTATTCTGGAGCTCTGTCCAGCCTCTGTTCCAGCTCAGCCTTCTCAAGGCATCACGACTCCCACTGGTTTCACCTCTAATCTAGCTCGCTATAATGTTAAATTAAACTAGCTGGGGATTTTTTCCAAAAGTTATGGAAGCCTTTTGGCTTTGCAGAGCTGCGACACCAGCACCGCTGAGGCAGGTAAAGGGAGCCTCAGAATCCTCATTGTTCCAATCCAGGTGCAAATCTGACCCAGAGGAGATGGGGTTCCATTCAAGGAGTCTGTGATGCAAATTTATGCAGATGACAGTCATTAGCCCGTTTGTTTTTCTGCTGGCTGGGAAAGGAAGAGGCAGCAAAGAACGTGCCTGGAAACTGCAGATTTGTGCCCAAACTGCCAACTTTAAAAAGCATTAGAGGCTGAAAGAGGCTGACTGTCAGTTCTTTTGGAGTCTGCAGGGGAGTGGCAGCGAGGAAATTGTTTCACCACCGGCCACCAACCCCTTGGCTGCTCTGTCCTGGCATTTATTAGCAGATACTCCATGGGTTGCCATGGGCTGCCACGAGCAAAGCTCCGTAGGCAGAGGACACAGGCACCAGCAGCCCTGAATTAATTTGACACAGCCCTAATTAAGAATTGATTGATAAACCCAGGGTAAAATCAGTGTCTGCATCTTGGTTCCAAAAACATTGTAGTAGAGCATTCCCAGGGATGAGGTTTGTCCACCTGAGCCAGAACACCTGGACAGGTCTGTGGAAGTGGGGGCTTTTCACACTGACCCCGTTTTTGTGGTCACTGTGACCTGTTAAAAACCTCGCCAGCTCCCTGGCATCCTCTCACCTCTCAGGGGACAGGGACAGAAGCTGAGCTGGTCTCTGTGCAAGCAGTTCAGAGCATGGAGTAAAGCAGGAATTTAAAATAACCTGCTCTGAGGGCAGGCACGGGGCTCTGAGGGAAGAATCAGGTCTTCAGACACCTCTTGGTGACATTTATTCCACAGACTGGAGCTGGATGCAAGGATAAAATCCAAAGCCCAAAGATCTCTGTGCTGCCTGCAAAAAGCCCTTTCCACCTTTTCAACAGCCCTCTTGCCAAGGCTGCCCTGAGGGGCTGGAATCGCCTCTGGATCGGTTCTCAGGGAAATGGGAAAGGGCTGGGGTCACTCGGTGCCTGCTGTAAATCCTTCGGTTGCTTCACACTTCTTGCAAAGCAGACCTTGAGCCTTTTGGAGAAAAACACTTGGAAAACTGCTGGGCTCCCCAAAGCAGCATTTTTCTCACCAGTTCGAATGTGCTGAAAGGACGGGATTTTCTGTGAACTTTTCCCAAACAGTCTTGCCTTCTTTTTTTCTTTTTCTTTTTTTTTTTTTTCTTCTTCTCTTTGAGAGGGGGAGGAGTTGTGTCTAAAAAAACAAACCCAACCTGTCGTTCTCAGCTCTGCCAACCTGTCAGTCCAGCCATGCAAGAAGAGACAGAGAGAGACAGAGCAAAAGAAAGGAGGGAGTGAAGCAGAGATTCTTTCAAACCTCAGCAGGACATTAAGGTAAAGTCCATTTCTCACTTCCTTAATTACTCTTTTCCCTGTGTTTGTACAGAAATTCTGGTGCCTTAGAGAGCTTTAACCTGACTAAACAGCCCGGGTGGGAATAACCTGCTTAGCGTTCAGCTGGAGGGGTGTTTGGAGTGTAACCTGGCAGCTCGGTAGTTGTTTGGAAACACGGTTTGAGTGGCTGGAATTCGTGTTAATTTGAATATTAAAGAGAGGCAGAGCTTGTTCGAGCCCATGTTTAGGGAGGGTGCTAAGCTGTGTAATTGCAGGGCTGAGCCAGGCTCTAATTACCGCAGATCGGCTGAGAACCTGTCAGAGAATGTGGGAAATGGATTTGTAGGGAATTCTTACAGCCTGACAGAAGGCTCACACAGTGTGCATCTCTGTGCAAACTTTGAGATAAGAAAAGCTGTCTTAGAAATGCCATGGAATAGGATAAACATTGGAGAGAGAGAAATGGAGCTAGAAACAAGTTTCAAAGGATGGCCTTGCAAATAAGACTGCATACTTTGGAGAAATAGAACTGTGAAAATGCATTGGAGTAGGACCCACCAGGGGTAATTTTAGATGATTTGCTTTAAAGCATTTACAGCATGGTGTGGCTAAAGCTGACAGGCCAAGAAACACTTATAGTGTATTGTAATTAATAAATAATTGGCTTCTGATTGTGATGCTGTGAATTATAACATCTGTATTGTCTCACCCTTCTCATGAGACTGAAAATGGAATAAAAGTTTCGAAAACACCTCTCTATTATCATCTCTGGGTCCGTAAAAGACATAATCCAACAAGAGAGGAGGGAAATCCTCCCAGAGCTGCAGGGCTCTGTCACCTTCTCCTGGAGCACCTGGCCTGGCCCCAGGTGGGCTTGGGCTGTGGGACCACCCAGGCCGTGGGGCTGAGCCATTTTGGCAGCTCCTCTGCTCCTTTCTGTCCTCTCTGTCCCCTCCTGGAGGAGCTCAGCACCCTCAGAGTTTCCTGAGCCAGGAGGGCAGAGCAGCACGGGCACTCTCAGCTCACCCTGGGGAAACTGAGGCTTGCAGAGTGTGAGAAAGGCTGGGTGAATGAGTCAGAGGGATCACTCTGCCCAGGGAGCCTGCTCAGGGTTTGTTGGGGCGATTGGGTGAGTGTGGGCTGAGGAACAAACAGGAATATTCACAATTTGTTGGATCTGAGCGTCTGTGCATGAGCACCTGTGTGACCCCTACCTGTGCAAGGGGTGTGTCTGTGCAAGGAGCCTGCTGAGACATTTTTTCCCCCTCCTACACCATGAAAATCCACCAAAAAAGGTGAGAAAGCAAGAATCCTGCTCATCCCCCTTAGAAACCCCTGTATTTCTAGATTTCTAAACCCTGAGCCAACATTTTAAGCTGTCCTGAAAACCCTGTGACACCTTTCTGAGCAGGCTGAGGATCTGGGAATGTCACACCAGAGGCAGAGTGGGGGCAGGATTTCCTCTCCTTGCTTCTCTTTGGGGTTTTCACTCCTGCAGCAAGGTGCAGGTTACCTGTCTAGAGCAGCTCACCTGGCAGACACAGCCAGCTGGAAAGTGCCAGAGAGACGATGCAGCTGTCCCTGGAAAGCTTGGAATGCCTCTGCCAGGGCTTTGCCAGGGCTTCTGCATCCTCCTGCCTGTCAAACTTCCTCAAATCCTTGTGCCTGTGCTGTGATCAAAGCTCTTTTCCAGACAGTGGCCACCACAAGTCTGGAAATCAGAGGAGATCCAGGCTGGGAGGGCTGAAGTCCAGAGGGATTCAGGCTGGGAAGGCAAAATCCAGAGGGGATCGAGGCTAGGAGGGCTGCTCTGTCTGGATAAAAACCTTTGCAAAGTCTTGGTGTTACATAATTTTCCTTTCTCCTGGGAGCCCTGACTCATTCTCTGGGGATGGTGATACAGAGTGTGATTGTAAACATTTAATTATCAGAAAAACCTTCTTTTAGAGTGTTTTCTGTTGTGTATTGTTGTGAGCTTTCTCGCCAGAGCTGGAATGGAAAGGGAAGTGCTTTTTCAAGTGAACATAGTGGGTGAAGAGGAAGTGAATATTTAAGTTCTGGTGGGGATAAACTTTTTTAGTCCTGGTTACAGTAACAGAAATTAGTCACTGAAAGAAGGAAAGGATGAAAATACACTTTCCTGATTTACAAAGAGTTCACTAATGAACCTCGCACCTCTCCTCTCCCTCTCCCTCTCCCTCTCCCTCTCCCTCTCCCTCTCCCTCTCCCTCTCCCTCTCCCTCTCCCTCTCCCTCTCCCTCTCCCTCTCCCTCTCCCTCTCCCTCTCCCTCTCCCTCTCCCTCTCCCTCTCCCTCTCCCTCTCCTCTCCCTCTCCATGCCAAACTCCAGGATGTTTTTCTGGAACCAGAGCAGACATCCTGCTGCTCTTTCCTCATTCCAGCTCTGGAAAAGGTGTGAATGCAGTGAGATAAGGAGATGGGCGCTGCTAAACCAGCCAAGCCCCGCAGAGCTGGGGCAGTTGGTTATTACTGACAAAACCCGGATTATTACAGCACTTGATGGGTGGTTTGGCAGCTTAGCAAACCTCAGCTGATCAATCAGAGTTAACCAGCTGCAAACTCGCTAATTTCAGGTAATACCCAGGCAATCCATATTTTAGATGGGCTCCATTAGTGCAGCAACAGCTCTGCTAGAAGTGTCGGAAGTGCCAGCCAAGTCCTCGCCAGGATCTGTGCCTGTCACTGCAGGGACTGATGGATGGGTCTTTAGTTCGGGGAGCTTCTCCTAAAGAACAAAAACTTCAGCCAAAGATGAGTTCCCAGACAAAAAGGGCGAAATCTGAGCCGTCCCTCTGCCAGCAGAGGTTCTGAACAGCTCCTGGAAAGGTCAGGTGAAAAACACTCTACACTGAAGGAGGTTCTGCCTTTCACCAGCGCTGCTCCCTCACCTCAGTTTGAAAATTAAGATACTGACACAGTTAAAGGATTTCAGTACTCGATAAAGATTTTTTATGGTGCAACAACTTATTATGGAATACACAGAAAAGCACATATATGGTAGATTGCATATATAATTTTGTAGACCTTGCAAATTACCATGTTTAACAAAGATGCTCTAATGAGAGGCTTGAATGAATAGCGTGACATCTTTTTATCTTAAAGTATTTTCTCTTAGATGGGTTTAATTTGAGTTCATAGGATATGTTTTGGAGGGGGCTTTGGTTTTTTAAGAGCCTTTCCCCAGGATGCTGATCCCTCACCTCGGTGCTCCTTGGCATGCCTGAAATTCTGGAGGCTGATGCTCTGCTCCTTTTTTTTGTTATTAGTCACCTCTCTTGCCCAATATTCTCACCCCGAGCTTTTGGTGAGAAGTTTGGTAACAGAACACCCCTTTCCAGTAATTCATTGTGCAATTAAAACCGCTACATGATAAACACAAACGAGCCCAACACGCAAATACCACCTCCCATTTCTGCCTGCTTTTAAACCAGGGCAAGGGCTTGATTGGATTCTTCATCTTTTCATCTTCAGATGTAAAAGAGAACTTGTCTGTCCTGTCTGGCAGGAGGCAAAGCTGGAACTCAAGAAGTGGCCGTGTTGCATTTCACAAGGAGCTGCTCATTTTTTGTGTATTCCCGTCATGATTCCATCATTGGTTCCTCTTTTTAAAGCAGATAAATTCATGTTCTGAGGGTGCATCCAGGGGAGGATAATCTTCAACTTCCCAACTGCTCTTTGTGTTGACATGGTGGGGTGGAGAATTGAGAGAGTGGAGAGGGTTTCAGCCCTTAATATCCTGTGGAAAGGTTCGTCAGAAGAACCACTGAATTTTGGGGCTGAAAAAAAGAGGTAATTTTGGTGAACAACCATTTTTTCAGACAAGTTTTCTTCAAGGGAAAACCAAGACAGGCTCACAGAGCAGTGTGAAAGGACTCACCTGGAAAAAAGAGTAAATTTTTACTGAAAAACAGATGGAAAATTTCCATGTTTAATGAAGGCGTCTCCATTCCTGAGACAACTTCACGAAACACCTCCATCCCATTCCTTTTAAAATATTCTCTCCCAAACTGGTTTCAAATTGGCACCAAATTTTGTGCCCCAAATTTTGTGCCCTCAGTTTTGGAGTGGCAGAAGCTGCATCACCTGGCCCTGCTGACTCCTGACTTCACAGCCCCGATTTTGGATGGCCAAGTGGCCCCTTTTGCTCTCCAGGAAATGCTGCTCCCCAGCATTTCATCCTGGCAGAAAGAGCAATTTCCTACCTGGCTTTGTCCCACTCAAACACAGATTAGAACAAATCTGAACCACGGAGAAGATATTCACTTAATAAAAGCAGAGGCCATAAAACACAGGCCACTTTCCACCAGAAATCTCAACGGGGAAATTCAAACATTTCTATTTCCACTCACAAACCTTCACCAGCTCTTTGATTATTCATGAAAATCCTTTCAGTTTTCTACAACTGAGTGAGGACTCTTTCCAGGAGCGGCCTGGGGTGAGATTTCCAGTGCACTCTTGCTCTGGATAGATTTAGAATATTAACATTTTCATGGTATTTTGTCACCACAACCGGTTATTCCACAAAGAAATGAGGCAATTGGTGCCTCAAGCAAAAAAAAAAAAAAAAAAAACCAAAAAAAAACCCAAAAAAACCAAAAAACCCACCAAAACCCGAGTAACCCTCAAACAGCCCCTGCGAATTTCTGTTATTCAGGCCTCAGAAAAAGGTTTGATTTGGACTTTTTCTTTGGGAATAAGTACAGAAAGGCTTGGTTTGGACTTTTTCAGTGGGAATAAGTAATTAGTGCTTTGCTTTATCTCCAGTCTGTTCAAATGGAGTTCAGTGATTGGTGAGGCAGTTTTGGATGGAGGTGCAGTTGCCCTGGCAACAATCGGGAGTGAAAATCAGAACCTTTTGAGCAGCCAGTGGAATGTGGTTCCACTTGGATGACAATAGGTCACAGCGTTTCAATGGGCAGAATGCAATCCAGCACAATAGGATTTATTGCCACTGTGACATCAGATTGACACTATTCCTGC